TTAGTACGTTTTAGGGAAAGATATGCTTTTTGTATTACCACTACAATTTCAACTTTCTTCCCAATGCCCCCTTTACTAATAATTCCTTAGTCTACAGTAGTTTCCTATTTAATTTCCAGAAATTGACTTTGGTGTGTTCAGTTTTATTACAATGGAAACATGTAACTTTCCTTGCATCACATATTTGTTCTGACCATTCTCCTCTTTTTAACTTTGGCGGCCTTCTATCTGTTCTCTAAAATTAGTACCTCTTCTATGCCTCTTTGCAGTAAGCTGTTTCATGGCCTACTCAAGTTTTCTAAGTTCCCTTTCTCTTTGGAGTTCAAGTTTTCTTAATTCACGCTTCCCTTCATTTTTCTGCAATTTTTTTCTTTCTTCTCACTTCCCTTCTTTTCTGTTTTTGTCTCTCCTCAAGTTTCTTTGTCTTCTGTTTTTCCTCCTAACTCAAGAGTTGCATTTTTCTTTCTCTGTCTAAGTCCAGTTGTTTTCATTTCTATCCGTACCTCATCCAATTCCAACTGTGATGCCTCTAATGTCAGGTTTCCTTTCTTCTTATTCTAAATGTTGGATAATCTCTTAACAATACTCAAAGCAAACTTAAAATTCTGTGCTATAAACTTTGCCATAACACAGCAGAATCACACATGTCGGAACTGTAGAATTTGTAACAAGATCAGCCAGGTGGACCCATAGAATATGTGTTCCCTGATTGGGGCTTGTAATTTGGTCCAATCAGGAGCGCTGGCTGACAGATATAAACAGGAATGTCAGATGTTCTGCTCATTCTGAGAGTTGGCTGTGAGGAAGCTGATTGATGTAAATAAAGGGTGACTTGGTGATGGGATACCAGCATCTGTGGCGTTATTTCAGTAGTGACAGGAGAAAAAATAGTGCTCCTGAAGAAATTTGCATGCAACAGTCATCATTGAGTTGGGATAAGCATTTCTAGCATCATGCCTTTATTTGAGAAAATTGACTCATTCGGTCCTGCCGTCGAAGACTGGGCCTAGTATGTGGAAAGAATGTATTATTTTTTCTGGGAAAATGACATGGGGCAGATGAAAAGCAACGAGTAATTCTCCTGACAGCTTGTGGACCCGGAGCTTTTTCAGTTATTAGGAGCCTAATGTTTCCTGAGGCACCAGATACTAAAACGTTTCAAATATTGATGGATTCAGTTAAGGCATATTACAACCCCAAGCTTCCTCTAATTCTGAGATGCTATCAATTTTACACTGCAGTTCAAGAACCAGGACAATCCGTGTTGGGATTTTTGATGAGGTTAAGATGACTGGCAGAGGCATGTGACTTTGGTTTAACTCTTAATGAGATGCTGAAAGACCATTTGGTATGTGGGATTAATGATGTAACCATGCAAAAGCACCAAATAGCTGAAGCCCAACTGGACTTCAAACAGGCGCTACAACTGTCTGCGTCATTGTGGCTGTTAACCTGGTCCATTCAGGGAGCCCTGGCTGACAGATATAAACAGGGGTGTCAGACATTCTGCTCACTCTGAGAGATGGCTCTGAGGAAACTGGACCAATGTCAAGTACTATGCACGTGTAAATAAAGGGTGAATTGGTGAGGAGTTTTTTCAAGAACCACATTATAGCCAATATTTCAAAAAGAAACTTACTGATTCCTCTTAAATTCAGTTATTTCAAATCCTACTAAGAGCCAACAATTATTACGACCCAAGTCAATATTGATACTAGACAAGCCAGATCCCAGACTAAAATCTGGCTTGATAGATCATATTTTGTTTTGTTCTGTTGCAATTAGGTAACCTTTCACTGAAACACAATCAGGCAAAGCTGCTGGCTTGGTTTTAACAATAGAAAATAATTTTATCATGTCAATCTGGGTTGCACATGGCTCAGTGGTTAACATTGCTGCCTCACAGCGCCAGGGACCTGGGTTCAATTCCACCTTCAGGCAACTGTAATTGTGGAGTTTGCAAATTCTCCCCATGTCTGCGTGGGTTCTCTGATTTCTTCCCAAAGTCCAAAGATGTGCAGATTACTCGGGGATAGCAAGAACTGCAGAGGCTGGAGTCAGAGTCAATACAGTGTGGAGCTGGAGGAACACAGCAGGTTAGGCAGCATCTGAGGAGCAGGAAAGTTGACGTTTCAGGTTTACAACTTTCATCAGGACTGTCCTGCTGTGTTCCTCCAGATCCACACTGTATTGATGTGCAGGTTAGGTGGATTAGTCAGGTTAAATGCCCATAGTGTCCAGGGATGAGCAGGCTAGGTGGATTAGCCATGGGAAATGCAAGGTTACAGGGATTGGGTAAGGGGGTGAGTCCAGATGGGATGCTTTTTGGAGAGTCAGTATGGACTGAATGGCCTGTTTCCACACTGTAGGGATTCTATGATTCTATGAAAAGAAATACAGATAAAATATGATAAACTAAACTATTTACATATAACCCAAGTTTTAATGTTTTGAAAAACATGGTAAAATATAATCCCAAAAGTATCCATTTATAGCCTCTCAAAAAACAACAGAGAGAATTTCTTTCTTTATCACATCTACAGAGTTTAACTTAAGTAATGTTTCAATTCCCAGTCCTAAGAATCTGAGAGCCTGTTCCTTGAGTCTCATGCAAGAGCGTTTGTGTGAAGGATTGTAATGATTTAACGTGTAAGAATTTCTTAAGCCATGATTTGCTTTGAAAGAAAAGGTCTGAAAATGGGAATTTGTTTACATTGGGAGAGTATTTACGAATGAACAAAGTAAATAGGGTAGTGTTTACATGCAGCTTAGCCTTTTTCAGCTTCAAATAACCCTTTCAGGGTTTTTATCAAACATTCTATTCTGGAACTTTCAAACCAATTTCCTTACATTGAGATAACCTATCTCTCAACAGTCCTCAACTAACTTTTGGAGAATGTGTTTTACATTTTCAGCTTCAACCATAACTTCTACAAACCTGAAACCTAAATGTTTTCTTCACATTATGGATGTTTTGCATATGCCATAAAATTAATTACAGATCTTCTAACTGAAGCCTAGTGCAGTACAATGTTTACTTTGCTTGATTATAAATACTCTCCCAATGTAAACAAATTCCCAGTAGCCTTCAAGTACTAAAATTGTCACACAACTGTTTTTAACAAATCATGGCTTAAGAAAACTGTACAAGTTAATCATTAAAACTCTTTTCGCTCATATAGACCAAATCCCACATGCCACTAATTCCAAACCCAAACTCTAAAATAAAAGATACTAACATGTACATAAATCACACACTTAGCAACAACAGTAAGATCAATAATTGTGATCTAACACTTCAAGAGTCCCAGCTATATCATGTTTATATCTAATTTCTGTTGATGTATAACTTGTTTTCACTGTCTGTTTATATATAGTTATTAAGCTTCAAGCCATTGACAATTTCCCCAAGCAAGTTGATGGTGAGAGACTAGGTGATGGTGGTATCATTGAAAGTTGGGGGTGGTTGTGCTATTTCTTTTTGGAGATGTTCATTGTTTACTATAAGCCTGGAAAAAATATTACCTGCCAGAAGTCAGCTCAGCTTGATGTTGGCTGCTTAATTCTGTGAATTGTGAATGGAATTAAATACCATAGCATTATCACTAAACATGACAGAATATCTGTATTGGATTGACCATGTCCATCAGACGGATGCTGACCTTACACCCCAAGACCTACTATATAAAGAACTGTTTACTGGGTCACTACCTCCTGGGCATCCACATCTCTGCTACAAGGACAACTGCAAGTGATATCTGGGGAATGTTGTCAAACAGAGAGACCTAGGGGTTCAGGTACATAGTTCCCTAAAAGTGGCATCACAGGTAGACAGGATGGTGAAGAAGGCATTCAGCATGCTTGCCTTCATTAGTCAGAGCATTGAGTATAGCAGTTGGGACATCATGTTGTGGCTGTACAGGACATCGGTGAGGCCACTTTTGGAGTATTATGTATAGTTCTGGTCACCCTGCTATAGAAAGGATATTATAAAATTGGAAAGGAGACAGAAAACATTTACAAGGATGTTACTGGGACGAGAGGGTTTGAGTTGAGAGGCTGAATAGGCCAGGACTATTTCCCCTGGAGTGAAGGGGTTGAGGGGTAACCTTACTGAGGTTTATAAAATCGTGAGGGACATAGATAAGGCGAATAGCAAAGGACTTTTCCCTGGGGCAGAGGAATTCAAAACTGGACAGTATAGTTTTAAGGTGAAAGGGGAAAGATTTAAAAGGGACCTGACGGGCAACTTTTTCACACAGAGGAGGGCACGAATATGGAAAGAACTGCCTGAGGAAGTGGTAGATGCAGGTGCAGTTACAATATTTAAAAAAAAACATTTGAACAAGTACATGGATAGGAAAGGTTTAGAGGGATTTGGGGCAAATGCAGGCAATTGGGATTAGTTTAGTTTGGGAAACCTGGTCAGCATGGATGAATTGGACTGAAGGTTCTGTTTCCGTGCTGTATGGCTCTATGACTCTATGAGAGATGAAGACGGCAGTCATTAACACAGAAAACTAGGAAAACAGTTACTGACAGCTGTGACCTTTGAAGGGTGACAATTTGAAATGACATTACAAGCAGTGAGCAAGATGAAAAGCTTGAGTGGCTGAGAAGGAGGCTGGAGAAAATAAGAACCAGTGAACCTTGCACCTTTTCAGTTCACTCTCTTCCTCTGCAGCAAGTATAGCAGAGACTGCCCTGTCAGAATGGGGTCTCTGAGCGTCTCCACACAATGCTTAAAACAGAGTGGACAATCACAGCTCAATCTATCGTTTTACAAGACTGAACAGAATGAATGATAAATGACTTAAAGTAGGTATATTTTAGGTTAAACAGTCAAAATGTTAATTATGTTATGATTATCATAATAACAGATGCAGTTCACCTTTGTCTGAAACTTTCTAATGCATGAAAAGCTGATGGCTTCACTGTTATTGTTCTGAAAGCTAAATTAGATTTTATCAGCAGATGATATTAAACTTCTACTTGCTTACCATGTAAAATATTCCCTTGCTTTGGATTTTTCCATCAAATTGGAGAAAAAGATCTTGATTTTGCTGGGCGTTTGATTTATTCCCTCATCGCTGTCCATTACTCAAGGTGGAAGTACATAGAAAACCAGAGGAGATCAAAATGAAAGAGCATAAGAAACTGACCTGGCTCATTTATTAATACTTACTGTTTGCTAAGAAGCTTACTGAATGATTAACCCTCTTAATGAACAATTAAATAAGATAGTGTGCCAGTTCACCCATTCAGCAAAGCTCTAATGAAGGATGAAAGTGGAATGACTAAACATACTGATTAATAGTGCAGAAAATAAACTGACGTCATTGAGCAATAGCTTTCATAAGAATGTGTTGAATTGTGGTAATGTGCTTTTGTGCTCCTTGATTCGATTTTTAAATGAAAATTTGTAATTTCAGAATGTATTCCCTAATTAGGTCAGCTGATTAAGGTTTTCTTTAAATTTCATTTAAATGTTAGAAGATTAAGTTGATGCTATAAAAATTTAGTCAATAAGTTAACTTTCATGGGAGTTTTATGACCTGCAAATATTAGATGCAATTTATAAATAATATCTTTTGGAGGTTTAGCTGACCTTAAACAATGCTTTGTATCAGTTACAGCAGATTTTATGGCAGTTTCACAATGTTACGCAGAGGTAAGCTGATTGCTTGGTTTAATGTTTGCCAGAAGGCACATGACATGCTGTAAAAATGTAATACTTGTACTGCTAGAAACCAATGTCCCAAAGGCTATAAATATGGTACTGATATGGATAAACACTTGACCTTTATGTAACCCTAGTATCAAGTACTCCCTTCAAGAAGTTTGTATTAAATAAATACACCTATCAATAATCATGAGCCAATACTTCAGCAATAAGAGCAACTGTGACAAAAGAAATCTACTGGAACTCAGAATTTTGATGTTAATGGACAAAACATTTAAAAACAAACTAATCTCTGAAGACAGAACGTATCCATACCAATATGTGAGAAAGGGTGAAATTTGAAAAGACACAACAATTAACATCAGAAAATCAATTGATATTGAAGTAGAAGGAAAGTAGTTTTTGCGATATCACTTTTTGAGGAAATATCCTAAAGAACAAGTAACCATTACACAGTCTAGCTTGCAACATGTAGTGTGAGGAAATGCATCTATGCTTCCTTGTAACAATAGTTGCTGAACCTTTACAATAAATTGATCTTCTGAGTAATCCTGTAACATAACTTTAAATTTTCATCATGGCAACGTCCCATGCTACCTCCATATTACATCTGGTTAACACAAACTTACCAATCTTATACAAGGCTTGAGAAACCTTTGGAATGCTGGGAGCACAGATTGCGATCTCTCTTTTTTTGTAAAAATACTCAAAGCCTGAAGAACCATAGAAAATAGAAACAAGAGTAGGCCATTCAAAGTGAGTTATTTTCTCCCACAAGCTGCTGCAAGCTGTTGCCTTTAATCAGTAACTAAGAGACATTGCTGAGCTCAAAATTGATGAGCTGGAATCCGAAATCCAAACACTGCGGCACATCCAGGAGGGGGAGAAATACCTGGATACTGTGTTCCAGGAGACAGTCACACTTGGTAGATTAACTAATGTTAATTCGATCGGTGGGTAGGGACAGCAGTGTGTGACTGCGAGTGAGGCAGGTAGAGGGACCCTGCAGACAGGAACACAGGAGCCGCAGCCGACTTGACATTGTCCCACAGGTATGAGGCACTTGCTCCCTGCGTGGATAAGGAACAGTGCTGCAGGAAGGATGAGTCAACTGACCATGGCACCATGGTCCAGGAGGCCATTCAAGAGGGGGGAGCAAAAAGACAGATTGTAGTTGTAGGGGATTCCATCATCGGGGGATAGACAGTATCCTTCGCGAGCAGGATAGAGAATCCCGCATGGTGTGTTGCCTGCCTGGTGCCAGGGTGCGAGACATCTCCGACCGGCTTGAGGGGATACTAGAGAGGGAGGGGAAAGATCCAGTTGTTGTGGTCCACGTAGGTACCAACAACATAGGCAGGACTAGGAAAAAAGACCTGTTTCGGGATTATGAAAAGCTAGGAACAAAATTAAAAAACAGGTCTTCAAGGGTCATAATGTCTGGACTGCTGCCCGAGCCACGTGCAAATTGGCATAGGGAGGTGAGGATCAGAGAGGTAAACACGTGGCTAAAAGAGTGGTGTGGGAAAGAGGGTTTCCTTTTCATGGGGCACTGGCATCAGTTCTGGGACAGGAGGGATCTATACGGCTGGGATGGACTCCACCTGAACAGGGCCGGGTCCAGTGTTCTGGCGAAAAGGGTAAATAGGGTGGTTAATAGGACTTTAAACTAGTAATTAGGGGGGAAGGGAGGAGTGAGTGTACAGGGAGTATAACAATTAATGTAAGGCAAAGCAGCAGGTTAGCAGGTGACGAGGAAGCTTCAACTCCATTGAAAATTAGGAAAAATGTTAACGGGAAGGAGAACTCAAGAGCTATTAGTAATGGTGGTAATAGGACCCAAAAAGAAGGTGCAAAAACTGGCATAAGGGCACTTTATCTGAATGCTCGGAGCATTCAAAACAAGGTGGATGAGTTGACGGTGCAAATCATGGCAATTGGGTATGATTTAGTGGCCATTACAGAGACATGGTTACAGGATGGTCATGACTGGGAGTTAAATATCCAGGGGTATCAAACTGTTTGGAAGGACAGACAGGAAGGTAAGGGAGGCGGTGTTGCTCTGATTTTTAAGGATGATATCAGGGCGGTAGTGAGAGATGATATAGGTTCTACTGAACAAAACGTTGAATCCATTTGGGTGGAAATTAGAAATGGCAGGGAGAAGAAGTCACTGATATGTGTGGTCTATAGGCCACCAAATAATGACATCGTGGTGGGGTGTGCAATAAACATAGAAATAGCTAATGCATGTAAAAATGGTACAGCAATTATCATGGGGGATTTTAATCTACATATCGATTGGTCAAACCAGGTCGGTCATGGCAGCCTTGAGGAGGGGTTCATAGAATTCATCTGCAATAATTTCCTTGAACAATATGTAATGGAACCTACAAGGGAGCAAACTATCCTAGATCTAGTCCTGTGTAATGAGACAGGAATAATTAATGATCTCACAGTTAGGGATCCTCTCGGAAGGAGCGATCACAGTATGGTCGAATTTAAAATACAGATGGAGCGTGAGCAGGTTAAATCCAGTACCTATGTCCTGTGTTTAAACAAAGGAGACTATGAAGGAATGAGGGAGGAGTTAGCTAAGGTAGAATGGGAGCAAAAACTTTATGGTGGGTCAATTGAGGAACAGTGGAGGACTTTCAAAATGATTTTTCACAGTGCTCAGCAGAAGTATATTCCAGTGATAAGGAAGAACTGTAGGAAAAGAGAGAGCCAGCCATGGATGTCTAAGGAAATAAAGGAAAGTATCAGATTGAAAAAAAACACATACAAAAAAGCAAAGAGTAGTGGGAAACTAGTAGACTGGGAAAGCCACAAAAAAAGTTATAAAGAAAAGTAAGATAGATTATGAGAGTAAACTAGCTCAGAATATAAAAACAGGCAGCAAAAGTTTCTATAAATATGTAAATCGTAAAAGAGTGGTGAAGGTAAACATTGGTCCTTTAGAGGATGAGAAGGCCAATTTAATAACTGGGAATGAGGAAATAGCCGAGACATTAAACGGTTATTTTGTGTCGGTCTTCACAGTGGAAGACACAAATAACATGCCGAAAACTGATGCAAGAAGGTTATAGCAGGTGAGGGCCTAGAAACTACCATTATCACTATGGAGGCAGTGCTGGCCAAGCTAATGGGGCTAAAGGTAGACAAGTCTCCTGGCCCTGATGAAATGCATCCCAGGGTACTAAAAGTGGTGATGGGGAAAATAGCAAATGCACTAGTAATTATTTACCAAAATTCACTGGACTCTGGGGTGGTTCCCGCAGATTGGAAAACAGCCAATGTGACACCACTGTTTAAAAAAGGAAGTAGACAAAAAGCAGGTAACTATAGGCCAGTTAGCTTAACTTCGGTAGTGGGGAAAATGCTTGAATCTATCATAAAGGAAGAAATAGCAAGACATCTGGATATAAATTGTCCCATTGGGAACACCCAGCATGGGTTCATGAAGAGTAGGTCATGTTTAACTCATTTGGTGGAATTCTTTGAGGACATTACTTGCATGGTGGACAATGGGGAACCTGCGGATGTGGTGTATCTGGATTTCCAGAAGGCATTTGACAAGGTGCCACACCAAAGGCTGCTACATAAGATAAAGTTGCATGGTATTACAGGTAATGTATTGGCATGGATAGAGGATTGGTTGACCAGTAGAAAGCAAAGAGTAGGGGTAAATGGGTGTTTTTCTGGTTGGCGGTCAGTGGCTAGTGGTGTGCCTCAGGGATCAGTGTTGGGACCTCAATTGTTTACAATTTACATAGATGATTTGGAGTTGGGGACTAAGTGTGGTGTGTCAAAATTTGCAGATGACACTAAGGTGAGTGGTAGAGCAAAGTGTGCAGAAGACACTGAAAGTCTGCAGAGGGATGTAGATAGTCTAAGTGAGTGGGCAAAGGTCTGGCAGATGGAGTACAATGTTGATAAGTGTGAGGTCATCCATTTTGGTAGGAATAACAGCAAGATGGACTATGTTTTAAATGGTAAAAAATTGCAGCATGCTGCTGTGCAGAGGGACTTGGGTGTCCTTGTGCATGAATCGCTAAAAGTAGGATTGCAGGTGTAGCAGGTAATTAAAAAGGCAAATGGAATTTTGTCTGCCATTGCTCGAGGGATGGAGTTTAAAAACAGGGAGGCTATGCTGCAGCTGTATAGGGTCCTGGTGAGGCCACACCTGGAGTACTGTGTGCAGTTTTGGTCTCCTTACTTGAGAAGGGATATACTAGCACTGGAGGGGGTGCAGAGGAGATTCACTCGGTTGATTCCAGAGTTGAGAGGGTTGGATTATGGGGAGAGACTGAGTAGACTGGGATTATACTCATTGGAATTCAGAAGAATGAGGGGAGATCTTATAGAAACATATAAGATTATGAAGGGAATAGATAAGGTGGAGGCAGGGAGGTTGTTTCCGCTAGCAGGTGAAGCCAGGACTAGAGGGCATCGCCTCAAAATAAAGGGAAGCAGATGTAGGACTGAGGTCAGGAGGAACTTCTTCACCCAAAGGGTTGTGAATCTGTGGAATTCCCTGCCCAGTGAAGCAGTTGAAGCTACCTCGCTGAATGTTTTTAAGGCAAGGCTAGATAAATTTTTGAACAGTAAAGGAATTAAGGGTTATGGTGAGTGGGCGGGTAAGTGGAGCTGAGTCTCAAAAAGATCAGCCATGATCTTAATGAATGGCGGAGCAGGCTCGAGGGGCCAGATGGCCTACTCCTGCTCCTAGTTCTTATGCTCTTATGTTCTTATTGCAGTTTCCTGCCAAGAAGTGAAAGAACTTAGAGAGAGGAGATTGAAAAATAGAAAGGCCTGGTAAGCTAAAATGAACAACTCAATAAACTCTATGGACTGATGGCACTGAATTGTGTTTCCTAGCTTCTTTTCCCTCCACCCATAAAACCACTTTTTTTGCTTAACTGTGTCAGAGTGTTTGTGTGTGTGCAGGGGTTTTAAAAGAAGGTTAGGGTTTTAACTATTAGAACCATACGTTGATAGTTCATTGCTGTTTACTTATGGTTATAATTTATTTACTTGTAGTAAATAGTCATTCGTGTTAAGTACAGGAACTTGGCCAGTGTTTTCTCTTAACTTGATTCCCTCAGGTAAATCAGGGACTGCATGTGCTTTGAGTAAATCATTAACTTTTGTGGTAACCCAGGAGTAGAGGAGCCTGAGAATTAGCATACTTTCCCAAGTGGTTCGTAACATGTGGAACAAAAATTTTAAAAACTTGTACAAATCAAGGTTGCATTTGGAAGAAGACAAAATAATAGAACACATCACTAAAGTGTGAAGAATATAGACCTCAGTTATGACTAGTTTGTAGAAAGGGACTCACCACCAGATTCGTTGTGTCAGAAGTAAAATTGACAGAATATCACTGATGACGAGACAACAAGACCATCCGCATCCAGAGGACAAGTGATATGAATGAACAAATAACCATTCCAACATAATGGTGATTTATAATCAATCACTAAAATCATAACTATTTAGTAAAACTGCAATTTTCCATTGTCCGGAGAACTATCATTGAGTAAAGAATAATGAACTGTTCTGACTTTTACAGGTTTAGGTTCTTGCCTTCAATATTCTCAGGAACAGTCATTCCCATAAGTGCTTGGAGTATCCTACACAAAGGGTACACCCAAACTGCCAAATAA